TTAGTATACATTAATGTACAATCGTGTGGTAGATTTATTTCAACCAGCATTCATTATAAATTACCTATTAGAATATACATTTTAAATTTATAAATTATTTGATATAACGGCATGCATAGTAGCTGCGATATCTTTAATATTAAAACTAAACTAACGATAATTTATTGACGTTATCACTGTTATCAGTAGTAAATATTTAAATAATTTTGAAAAAATAGAATTATACTATAATAGTAGACGTACAGTATTCCTCCTACGTGTAATAAATGAATGATAAAACCATTTTAATTATTATTGAAACGGAATTTTAATCTCTGCGTATTATAGATTCTAATAATTTGTTGGAAAATGTGCGTATTACAGACGCGTTTTAAAGATATCGTCGATAGCATGGCCGCAATATTCTGAAAATATTTCGAAATATTTCGATTTGAATGACGAAAAATCAGTATATYGTTTTACGTCTGAATAATGTGATGCGCCATCGAATTGWCGTGGCCAAATACATACTAGTATACTACCGTCCGAGAGTAYGTCACTTGTCGATGACAATCGATCTACACTACTGTTATATGGAAACCAGTGGAACCTCGATAACTCGAAGGAATGCCTTGGCYCCTACCTTCCAATATACAAAACTACTATATATGTCATTGCACTTGTTAATTATTATTTRTTATTATGTTTGGAAAGCGAATTGAAATTGAAGTTGAACCGCACTCATTCTAAACCGCGGGCTACGCTTGCAGAATTTGTTTTGAACGTTTAGAYGATATTAATATTATTATTTCCTCTGAAATCGCGAGTAGCAGCTGCAGTCATCCCACCGCGGATCGAACGTTCGAACTTTGAACGGTCCGGAAATCCAGAACTTTCCAGTAAACTCACACGGTGAACAACTATAAATGTTGCGTGATTGCCTGCTAATTATCCACTGTAATTAATACGTGATTCATGCAGATACTTTTTGATATTCCTGTATAGCGTTCTTGCAGCGATCRCGGTCTATATTGTAGCCCTGTGTTACGACAAACCGTTCGGATCGTCACACACAATCAATATAAATAGCAGCTCGTTACACAGTAAAGTGCTAAATATTTCCACTGGGCTTCCATCGTAGTTTTTTAATTTTTTTTTTTTTTTTTTTTTTACCGTGATCTCTGACCGACCGCATCTGCGTTAAAAATATATATGTCCAATCTGCCAAAACATGTATCGGAGATTCGTGGAATTCCGTACTGACGGCGGCCTCGCGTACTTGACCTGTCGGGAGCGCATGACGGGCAATATGGCATCACAACCATTATCATCGACCATTATACGATTTACGTGTTCCATAATAACCGCACGACGGATGCAGTTTAGGTATACATCTGGAACATTATGTTATGGTGTTGTTAACGTCGTGGTTTTCCGGTATCCACACTTATAAAATGTATATACGCACGTGCCTACAATATAATATTGGTATTAGATAGTGTCAGTATTATAATAATATTAACGATATTTACTTTGTGCCGATAGAATATTGCTCCAAATTCGGACGAGATGCAGAAAATGTTTAGTGTTCCATTCAATTAACATTTTATTCGTATTATTCTATGGATGTAAATATACATTTAAAATATTACAATTAGTTTATTGCATACAACGATTATAGACACCGGCGTATATAAATACGTAGGTACAATCTATAGACGCTGTCGTTTAATTTTCAGATGAGACACGTATCTGCTGATCGCTATCTTCTTACGTTTTATTTTTTATTCATCTTATCATCGTTACTACATTTATATACTTCTTGCTCTCTAACTCGAATACTTATTATTGCCGACTGCCATCCTCTATTCCTTGGCCAACACTGTTATCAACTCAATGTGAAGTACAATAAACGTCTGTACTTTTAAATTTAACACTTCTTAGATCACACATGATACACCGGTGCTGTTTGGGTTTAAAGATTGGAYCTGCTTAGGGACTCCCTAAAAACGATTACTTATTCGGAGAGTTTTAACAACACACATTTTGGTCGGAAACATTTTTATTAATATTCCGGAAACAAACATAAACAATGCAATTTATATTACTCGTATTAAGTTTACTTCATCGAACTCTATAGGTCTTAAACAGACCTGTATAGGAATTACTACAGTGTAACACAACTGCGAATGTCGTTCACCGTGATACACTCTACGGTATGTTGGGACTATGTACGAGTTATCAAACTATACTATCGTGTAACACACAACATTAAACATTACTGCAATATTATCAGTGTGTTCCTGCATATACCTTTTATGATTTTCATTCTCTACATTTTTCGAATATTTTATATATGTTTGATTAGCAATTTTATTTAAATGTACACAATATGCATTATATCCTTCTCACACGACTCGTGACCCTGCACGGACAAGTTTAATGACCACAAGCAATCGAAAATAAAAATAATATTTCTGTCTGTATAAGTTAAAAATAAATTACCTTTTTCATGTGAGAAACGTTATAAATAGATACAGAGATGAATTGTTCATATTATATAGGTAGATGTTCAATTGCTTTATCGATTAACCCGGCACATTTACGACAAGCGCCTAAACATCTGAATCGTGTCTCACACCTCGACATAATTAAAATACAATCAAAATCTTTTTACATTTTTGTAAACTCATTATAGAAGCATAGAAAATAAAATATATATTTTTTAAGCAACATTTTTTTTTTTTAGAACTAACTCATGTCATATAGATATGTTTTAGTAAAATTGTAGGTTATTAAATTACAATTGCCCATTTATAACCATTTATAATTTTATTCATAATAAAATAAAATTTATTTCTCTTAAGTTATAACTTTAGTTTACAATGATAAAATTATTTTCATAGTTCAAAATATGTACTCATTTTAAATGGCACATTTATTAATTTGTGTTTATAAATTATTGTTGTTTACAAATCATTTTATTTAATTACAAATAAAGTGTTATTTTTACCATCAACACGTCAGGTTTGTTTACTATAATATTTATATTATATTATATTATTGTTCACAAAATCAACTGCACTACGGCTCCGAAAGAGCGTCGACACGAAATTTTACTGAACTTCAAATAACATTTATTTATAGTGTGTGTGATGTATAATATTCACTTGTACATATACACATACACGTGGCGTGGCTATGCCTTTATTTGTGTGTGTATATATAATGTATACAAACACCAATCTATGTAGAGATGCTGTGTAATAGTAGTACCTATATACTACGAGTATTATAAATTACTCAGAAAAATTAATCGAACAGCCCTGTATAGCTCTGTAGTTTTGTTCAAATAAAATAATACAAACTGAGAAGTCACTCATCTGCTGTATAACTTCATATGTTTCGAGTGTAAGTCGTCATTGAATAAGTAATATATATTTACAGTCTTTGTATTGGATGTGATAAATTTGATTCAAATGATAAATCATTGCATACAAGCTGGAGAAATGGTGTGTTTCACAATTTCTAGGGATATTTTATAACCTACAAAAATTGTATTCAATTTATTTTGATATTATGTGCCTAATATACTTTTGTATTAACTTTAGTCAATAGGTACTAACAACTAACATAACATAAACTGGTTTAAATAGGCACACGATGAGGTACAAATAATAGACTCAATTATTCTAAATATTTTTATAGCTGAATTCTATGTAGAAAATAACAATATATATATATTATAGCAAAAACTGCGGAGTTCTTTAAGCCCCTTATATCGTCGAATAATATTTATTTAAATCACAAAAAATGTCTGTAGAAAAATATAGTGTGCTATATGGATTTTTAGAAGTTTCCGTTGGAAAAACTTATGGGAAACCTTGTAGTATATTTTCAAGTTTTTTTCAACTTAAATAAAAATGATTCAAAATAAAAATGTTTTAGTTTTACTATGCACCTAAGTGAAAAAACTTATTTAATTATTTGGTGAAAATGTATGGTCAATAATTTATGATTATATATTAGGTACTTATATTATATAAAAAATGAATTATGATTTTCTCGAAAACAGGTGTTGTGAAAAATTCCTTTCTTCAGTTTTTTTTTTAAATTTTTAAAACTAAAGTTATTTAAAAATATATGGACATTTTTATAAGATTGACGTGTATTTAGCTGCTCCAAAATAACAAACGAAACCTCATTATTGTAAAACAATAAAAATAAAAATCATACTCAGCTTTGATTCTAAGAAATCTGAAACCTCTTATATTTAGACTTATCTTTATATGCGTATAAAATAAATTGTAATTTGCAGTTATGCTTTGATTATTGTAGGTGACTTAAAGCTTAAGATTGTTTTTATTATTTTTCACTTGGCTTAACATTTTTACGCGCCGTTAGAAATGACGTTATATGAATCCACTATGCCATAAATATATATGATGCGATATTGATATAATTATGATATGTATCTTATATACGAATTACTTTAACATAATTAATCGGTATAATCTTTTTAATTGCACTCTTGTAATTTTCTTGATTTTTAGTTTATTATGAAACGTTTTGTTTTTTATTTGAACCTGGATACGCAGTGGGGTTTAAAATACATGAAACGCAAACTGTTAATCGTTAAACGTTAATCTCTTTTATAGTCACTCAAATGTGGATTACTAATTACAAATTAGTAATAACTAATAAGCAATATCCATCCACGGTATGCGTGCGGTTTTTAGAAAATGCCGATTACCTAATTTTTTCGTGGTCACTATTAAAATCTCATTGGAAATCTTATAAGAATGCTTTTACTCGCTCCACCTGTATACAATTATCTGCTGTTTAAAAAATCAGTTGTGGCTCCTTTTTTTTTTTTTTTTTATGTGGGGGAAGGGGTCGAAAAACCGTTGAATTATTATTGTTTATAATGCATTATTATTATAATATTGTTATATTATACGCGACCCCGGACGGCATTGATATTAATTATTTATATTTTGTTTTTGCCGCACGATGTATAGAAAACCGCCCAAGCCGCTACCCCAGCAGACACACCGGTTGAATCTGACCGGAGGCGGCGGTCCCCCCCGGAGGAAGACGTCTGGTTACACACGGCCGCAGTTCGCCGGTCCCATGGAGTTGGAGACGTTGATGGAGGAAGGGGCCTCGCCCGGCCCAGGTAGCCGAGAAGGCGACGCGCCGACGGCGGACGACGGCACTCGCGCATCGCTCTCCAACGGGGACAAAGCTCCGCACCGACATCTACAAGAACAACAGCGACAGGAACAACAACTCGACTCGGCCGCCGCCGCCATGAAATCGAATTCTGAGCGTCCGCGCAGCTCGCTCAACCTTTACCTGGCTGCATGCACGGGTAAGCGCTACGATTTAACAACAATAATATTATGTCGTTTTTTTTTTTTTGTTTTTTGACGATTTTGTAATAGTTCCATGATATTATTAAACATATTAATCCAACTCATAAGTCTGTGGAAAAGGCCGAATTTGTTTTTTGTCCGTATCGTTTTCATTCTTATTCGGCAGATCTCTTGATTTTTACACATCCGTTTTTCAACGTCTAACCGTCGTAAGTATTYTAAAATTCCGAAGGCACATCTGTTTTTAGTTTACTTGTGCATTGAAATACGACACCGGAGAGGGTTAAAAATATTTGAAATATTAAAACACACATCCGATTCTTTGGTTAAAAACAAAAAAATCATTTCTCAATTATTAGTTTCTATACAATATGGAATATTAAATTTCGATTTAGAGTGAACCCAAAATATTTTTATGCATATTTTAATGCAATAAATAGTATTTTTGGCGTTGAATTTATAATCGTACCGAAACAAAAATTTGTTGGTAACAAAATATCGTATAACTCCTACAGCAATTTAAAGCAATTTAATTTTCTTATACTTAGACTATATTGCGTTTAAATCAATGAATATTATACGGGCTCCACATTAGCTCCTAATATTTCCTACCAATTATATAAATAATTAGGAAAAATATCAACAGTGTATATGATTTTATGAGAAACTCTATTATGTAGAGATTGAATTAAATACAAATAATAATATTAGCAAAACYAAATTAGGGGCGTTAGATGTATTGTGAACAACATTTTTTTTAAATTCATTATCTGTTTTATAACACAGCATATTATTCTCGTTGTTAGGATGACAACAAAATAATGTCTATTATTTAATTGTTTGACCCTATACATTTTCGAAAAGATTTTTTTTATCCGTAACTATATGAATAAGTATGATATTGTGTTCACGTTRAGGTAAAACAAAATAGTCGGTGCGTAACGTTTCTGGTTGGGTCATTATTTCAAACATATACAAAACGAATTGGTTTCTCAATATAAACGGTTAACTTTCTTTTTGTTCGTTCTCAGATTGTTTCGATTCATTTGTCGGGGATAAAAACTAAATAATAATATTATTATATTATATTAAAAATTTAAATGTTGATTATATTAATTAAATTGCAATAGTAATAAAATATGAGATTTTATTATTTTATTTTTAAAATAAATTCCATCAACTTTGGTTGTCAGCTGTCGGTAAATATGCTAACCTCTAAAWCACATATTATAATGTAAATTTATTGTTGAAACATTATAGTGATTAACTCATACATGGATGTTGAATGGTATTTAATATCGATATTTCATATTATGTTTATTGTTTATACGTAATATAAATGCCCATAAATTTCCCATATTGATCGAAAACATTTATCTTCCTTTATATATGTCTGTAAAAAAGTGCACTGCAGATAATATAGACTTGCATAGTTGCATTAAAT